AACATGTACACTAACCTGGCTATTAAAGTTGTTTAGGTGAGACCAGCTCATGTACTATAGGAGCATGAATTCATCCTACCTGTTGGGAAGTCAGTTAGGTTTTTACAATCCATACCCTTATCTTCACTCTCTGAATGATAATTACTTCTCAGAAGTTCTCCAGCATTTTTCTGGTTAATTGAAGACAAGAGTCTCACAGCCTTTCCTGCCCAGGCTGGCTTTGAACTGTGATCCTCAGATCTCAGCCTCCGAAGTAGCTAGGATTATATGTGTGACCCACTGGTGCTCAGCTCATTATTTTTCATAAGACACATATTTCATATGGTTCTAAAAATCAAAATGTCAGTATGATATTAAGTGAAAAGTGGCTCTCTTATCCCTGTGTGAATCTTTCCAGTCTCTCCTAATATATTAGTTTTTAGTGTGTACTTGTAGAATTTTTTTTTGTGCCAGTCCTAGGGCTTGCACTTAGGGCCTGGCACTGTCCCTGAGCTTTTTCTGCTCATGACTAGTGCTCTGCCACTTGAGCCACAGCTCTATTTCTGGTGGCTTTTTGGTGGCTAATTGGATATAAGAGTCTTACTAACTTCCCTGCCTGAGTCGGATTCAAATGGTGATTCTCAGATCTCAGCTCCCTGCATTGCTAGGATTACAGAGGGTAGCCATTGATGCCTGGCTTTTTTTTTTTTTTTTTTTTTTTTTTTTTTTTTAGCCAAGGTCTTTGTAGCTTAGACTGTCTTAAACCTTGATTCTCCTGCCTTAGTTTCTTTCTTTTTTTGGGGGTCAGTCCTGGGGCTTGAACTCAGGGCCTGGGTACTGTCTCTGAGCTTTTTTTGCTCAAGACTAGCACTCTACCACTTGAGCCACAGCACCATTTCCAGCTTTTTCTGTTTATGTGGTACTGAGGAATCAAACCAAGGGCTTCATGGATGCTAGGCAAATATTCTACCACTAAGCCACATTCCCAGCCCCTGCCTTAGTTTCTTATTGCTGGGATTATGAGCCTATGCTACGAGAATTTACTTTTTAAGTACATATGCAAATTGGAGTATTGTTGTCTATACTTTAAGTCACTGTCACCTATGTATCTTGGGACTGATGAAATTTGGCTACTTTAGTCCCATCTGGGCATAAGATCCTTACACTAACCTGACCTTTCCTATGTTGTGAGATTGAACTCCCCAGAGATGTGCTTGGCCCAGTCTATCCTGTGGACTATGAGATAGCCATGTACTTGAACTTGGGTAGACTGGGTAAGTATATGATCATGTGCTCTGGTTCCTACTTTAGAGGGCCTTGAAGCTACTGGGGAAATGACAGCAGCCAAGTTGACTGATATATACAGCTTACTATTTTTGTGGATGTCAGTCTTAGGGCTTGAATTCAGGGGTTGGGTGCTTGTCTCTGAGCTTTTTATGTTCAAGGCTAGCACTCTACCACTTGAGCCACAGCTCCATTTCCAGCTTTTTATTTTGGTCCTTAATTGGAGGTGAGAGTCTTACTGACTTCCCTGCTCCAGGCTGGCTTTGAACTCCAATCCTCAGATTTCAGCCTTGTGAGTAGCAAGGATTACAGGCATGAGCCACCAGTACCTAGCCTAGTTTACACTATTGAATCCACTTGGTTAAAGAAACTTTTGGAGTCAAAGACCTTTCTTTGTAAGCAGTGATTCTCATCTAAGGTTAGTGTAGTCTTTGGGAGGGCTTGTATAGTTGAAAACTATTCATTTTTACCATTTTCTCCATTTTGAAGTGGCAGTAGTCCCATAGTTTTCTAATGTCAACTGCAGAATTAAAGCTTGGCAATTTGGTTTTTAGAGCCTTGTGTTCCTTCTATTCCTTCAAGGGCTGTTCATTAAACAAAGCACAGTGAGTACCGGGAGATGACCTAAAGACAAGTGTATGTTTTGGAAGTATGTTCCTTGCTAGGCATTGAACAGTGCAAAATGAGTTGTTAGTTCAGTGCTGGTGGCTCAACGCCTGTAATCCTAGATACTCAGGAAGCTGAGGTCTGAGGATTGCAGTTTAAAGCCAGCCTGGGCAGGAGACTCTTTTCTCCGATTAACCAACACAGAAAAGCTGGAAGTGGAGCTGTGGCTCAAGTGGTAGGGCATTAGCCTTGAGTACAAAAGTTCAGAGACAGTGCTCAGGCTCAAGCCCTAGGACCTGCCTACACAAAAAACTTGGAATTGGAAGTGATGCCAAGAACCAGTAGTTGAGGGTGAGCAAGGAACATAGTTATTCTCCTGGAAAAGTGGATAAAGTAAACTTGCTTCAGTATTCCTTCCATTGTGGTCTTGGGGCAAGGTCATAGAGCAATTCCTGGCCTCTTATTTCTTTAAACCTGTGTGTGTGTGTGTGTGTGTGTGTGTGTGTGTGTGTGTGTGTGTGTGTGTGTGTGTGTGTGTGTGTGTGTGTGTGTGTGTGTGTGTGTGTGTGTGTGTGTGTGTGTGTGTGTGTGTGTGTGTGTGTGTGTGTGTACTGACATGCTTGAACTCAGTGTACTCTCAGTTTTTTTGCTCAAGGCTAGTGCTTTACCACTTAAGCCACAGCTTTGCTTTCACTTTTTGCTGGTTAATTAGGGATAAGAGTCTCATTTCCTGCCCAGGCTGGCTTTGAACTCTGATCCTCAGATCTCAGCTTCCTGAGTACGATTATAGGCCTGAGCCACCTGCTCCTGGCTTAAAAAATCTTTTGTGTTTTGCAGTGCTGATGATCAAATCCAGGTCCTCATGAGCTTAGGCAAACACTCTACCCCTCAGCTACTTCCTAAGTCCCATTTTTTTTTTTGGGTCCAGTCGTGGGGCCTAAACTCTGGGCCTGGGCGCTGTCCCTCAGCCCTTCAGCTCAAGGCTAGCGCTCTACCACTTGAGCCACAGCGCCACTTCCGGCTTTTTTCTTTTTGCTTATGTGGTGCTGAGGAATCGAACCCAGGGCCTCGAGCATGCAAGGCAAGCGCTCTACCACTGAGTCACCTTCCCAGCCCCCCTAAGTCCCATTTTTAAATATATATTTTTATTGTAAAGATACTGTACAGAGGGGTTACAGTTACATGAGTAAAGTAATGAGTACATTTCCTATCGAACATTGTTACTCCCTCCTTTGCTTTTCCCCTACCATCCTTCCCTCCCCACCTCTCCCACTCCCCCCCTCCCCCCACCAAGTTGTAAAGTTCATTTTCAGCATAGTGTCTTGTATATCTCATTGTTACAATGCGTCAACCTGTATCCTTATTTCAGCATTTTGTTATTTCCCTTCCCTTCCCCAAATTAGAAAAATGTATATATAAGATGCAGGGCACCGGAATCAAATACAGTGAAAACAGGGGTTATACCATGGGGGAAGAACATACAAAAGAAATAAAAAAAATCATATGTTACCTTATAAGCACACCAACCCAGATGCCCCTCAGTAGATGAATGGATCAAGAAAATGTGGTATATATATATATATATATATATATATATATATATATATATATATATATATATATACCACATTTTCTTATATATATATATATATATATATAATGGAATTCTGTTTTTTTTTTTTTTGTCAGTCGTGGGGCTTGAACTCTGGGCCTGGGCGCTGTCCCTCAGCTCTTCAGCTCAAGACTAGTGCTCTACCACTTGAGCTACAGCGCCTCTTCCCTATATAATGGAATTCTATGCCTCCATCAGAAAGAATGACACCGCCCCATTTGTTAGGAATGGAATGAAGTAAGCCAGGCCCAAAGAAACATAGGTCCCATGGTTTTCCTTATTTGCAATAACTAGTATATGTCTAAGACAAGCAGAAAAGTTAAAAAAAAAAAAACTGTGTACATATGATCATATAAGATGATGCTAAGGGGCTGGGAAGGTGGCTCAGTGGTAAAGCACTTGCCTTGCATGCCTGAGGCCCTGGGTTCGATTCCTCAGCACCACATAAGCAAAAAGAAAAAAGCCGGAAGTGGCGCTGTGGCTCAAGGGTAGAGTGCTAGCCTTGAGCTGAAGAGCTGAGGGACAGCGCCCAGGCCGAGTTCAGGCCCCACGACCGGACCCAAAAAAAAAAAAAAAAAAAAAAAGATGCTAAGTCCCATTCTTTTAAACCTTTTTTTTTTTTTTCCATTCTTTTAAACCTTAAGATTAGATGAATCAGATTAAAGTTATTATTGTAATATTTTGTGCTGGTCCTGGGGCTTGAACTCAGGGCCTGGGCACAATCCTTGAGTTTTTCTACTCAGGGCTAATGCTCTACCACTTAGAGTCACAGCTCCATTTCTGGTTTTCTAGTGGTTAATTGGAGGTAATAATCTCATGGACTTCCTTATCTGGTCTTGCTTTGAACTTTTATTCTCAGATTTTAGCCTTCTGAGAAGCTAGGATTAAAGGTGTGAGCCATCAGTACCCAGCCACCAGCACTTGGCTTATTTTTTTTTTTTTCTTTCTTTTTTTTTTTTTTTTTATTGTAAAGCTACTATACAGAGGGTTACAGTTACATGAGTGAGGTTATGAGTACACTTCCTCTTGAACATTGTTACCCCCTCCATTGTTTTCCCCCTACCATCCCCTCCCTCCCTCCCTTCCCCGAGGTTCTTTTTTTTTTTTTTTTTTTTATTGTGATTAAATGATTACATAATTTCAAAGTCACAAGTTCATTCTAACTTCCCTGGAGCAAATTGTCTACCACAGTCTGTAATATATAACAGTGTTCACATGTTATATACCATATTTGTGATCAGCAGCATGAGGATATTTAGTAGTGGTTCAACCAGATGAGCGGGAGTTCTTTGTTTCTTAAGTCCTGTTAGTTTTGTCGTATCACCTAACCTTTTGGATTTAGCATCCACTTATGAGGGAGACCATGTACCGTTTGTCTCTTCATTCTTGGCTTACCTCGCTCAACATGATTCCTTCTAGTTCCATCTATTTCCCTGCAAATCACTTGGCTTATTTTTAAATTAAGTTATAATGAGTCAGTACTCAGCAAAAGGAGACTTAATCCAAGGATATCTTTATTAACTATAACTGGAGCCTCATAGTCAGATCATTATAATCAAAGAATTCAACCAGAGATGTTAGTAATTCCACATCAGAAAGATTTCCAGGGCTTAGGATGTTGTTTTCTTCACTGGGATATCTTTGTGACTAGCACTTGGAATTCTTCAAAACTAACTTCTCCATCTCCATTCTTGTCCAGTTCTTTAAAGAGGTCATCTAGGCTGCTTACAACCTGGTTTTAGACAAAAGGATGAGGGAGAAATGAAATGGAATTAGATAACCCTACACAATTCTGGGATATGGGGCATGGCAACATTTATTCCAGAAGGTCTTGTGAATTTCCAGGCACAGGCTACTGATAGAGGTGGAAAAGCTGGTGCTAATTGTGGTATCAGTTCATGTCACACACCTAGGTACTTTCTTTTTTCCACTCTTACACATGTATTGTTTAATAATATTTTGGCTTTTTTTTGGTGCCAGTCCTGGGGCTTGAACTCAGGGGCTATATACTATCCCTAGGCTTTTTTGTTCAAGGCAAAAATTCTACCACTTGGGCTCCACTTATGGCTTCCTTTGGTGGCTAATTGGAGATAAGAATCTTACAGATTTTCCTGCCTAGGCTGGCTTTGAACTGCGATCCTTAGATCTCAGCCTCCCAAGTAGCTAGGATTACAGGTGGCAGCCATGGGTACCCAATTTTGGCATATTTTTTTGAATTCTTTATCTTTTATTTTTTATTGTGAAAATACTGTACAGAGGGGTTACAATTACATGGGCAAGATAACGAATACATTTCTTATCAAGCATTGTAGCCTCCTCCTTTGTTTCCCCTTCCCATCCCTTCCCAGCCTCCCCCCACCCCCCACCCAGTCCTCCCCGTCCGCTCCCCCTCCTGCACCAAAGTTGTAAAGTTCGTTTTCGACATAACGACTTGTACATCTCATTGTTGCAGTGACCCATTGCAACAATTTTGGCATATTTTAAATTTGATTTTGTCCTTTTTCAGCGTAGGGGTCCATGGGCTTTTACCAGACTACCCACAGACCACAAATAGCTGAGGACTCCGGCCCCAAGGTTTTCCTAGGAGTTGCTTTGTCTTGGGTTTCAAGCCTATGGCTAGCATATAGCTAGTGGAAGCAGGCAATGAGCACCCACTTGCTTGTACTGTGTTGAAGCTGAAGCCTTTAGGGTAGCCTGTACCCTCCACCTAGCCACCCTGTAGGGTGATTCTGTGTGTGTGTGTGTGTGTGTGTGTGTGTGTGTGTGTGTGTGTTGATCCTAGAACTTGAACTCAGGACTTGAGCAGTATCCCTTCACTTTTTATGGTAAGGCTGGTACTCTACCACTTGAGCCATAGCTCTACTTCCTGCTTTGGAGGTTAATTGGATATAAGAATCTAATGGAAGACGTGTGCCCTGTGGCTCACACCTGTAATCCTAGCTACTTTGGAGGCTGATATCTGAGGATCGCAGTTCAAAGCCAGCCTAGGCAGGAAAGTCTGTGAAACTCTTATCTCCAATAAACCACTCAGAAAGCCGGAAGTGGCACTGTGGTTCAAGTGGTAGAGTGCTCGCCTTGAACTGAAGAACTGAGGGACAGCACCCAGGCCCAGGGTTCAAGCCCCATGACCGATCAAAAAAAAAAAAATGTGTGTTTTTTTTTTTTAAAGAATCTAATGGAAAGCTGAGAATGTGGGCTTAGTGGTAGAGTGCTTGCCTAGCATGCATGAATCCCTGAGTTCAATTCCTCAGTATCACATAAATAGAAAAAGCCAGAAGTGGCACTGTGGCTCAAGTGGTAGAGTGCTAGCCTAGAGCAAAAGAAGCTCCCAGGACAGTGCCCAGGCCCTGAGTTCAAGCCCCCGGACTGGCAATCAAAACAAAACAAAACATAAAGCAAAAAAAAAAAATCTCATAGACTTTCCTGCGTGGACTGTGATCCTCAGATCTCAACTTCCCGAATAACTAGGATTATTGTTATGAGCTACCAGAACCCAGCAAAATCTACTTTGTAGGTGAGGAAACTGAATCCCAGAGAAAGCCACTAACTTTCTAGCTAGTTAGCAGAGGACTTGAGGTTCCAACATGAACTTTAGAGCACAGCCTTGTAATGGAGACATCACCCTAGCTTTTCTCAAACTCTGGCCTGTGGCTCTCCTCTAGGGTATCCAAGATGACTTTGGTTGCTGGCTCACATGCTTTAGCATGTCAGGATCACCTTCATGAGCATACTGACCTTAGTAAACACAGATGGCCAGCCCTACCCAGAGCTGATAACTCACTAGGTGGGGAAGGCCTGGGAATCTGTATTTCCAACAGGTTCTCTCTCTTGTCAGGGACCAGGCTTGAGAGCCACTGCTTGAAATGTCACCTGAAATCATAGGCTTTTCAATGATTGTTATTCCTGTGGTGTCTGAAGCAGACTTTTTATTTTTTGTTTCTGTCATGAAACTCAAATTTTAACGTTGCTACTTGGCCTTTTTAAGTAGCAGTCTGTGGCGAAATAGCACTTAAGAAACCTATGGAAATAACAGTTTCATTTAGATCTGCTTCAAATTATCTATATCTGAACATACATAAAATTTTATTTAAAAACCATATAAGCCTGATGCCAGTGGCTCTTGCCTATAATCTTAACTACGCTAAAGACTGGGATCTGAGGACTGTGGTTTGAAGCCAGGCCAAGCATGCAAGTCTGTGAAACTCCAATAAACTACCAAATAATAAACTCAAATAAATTACCAAAAAGAAGCTAGAAGTGGAGCTGTGACTCAAGTGGTAGAGCAGTAGCCTTAACAGAAAAGCTCAGTGACAGTGCTTAGTTCCTTAGTCAAGCCCCAGTGCCAGCATACAAAATCAAACAAAAAAAACCCCAACAAAACAAGACATACAGCCCGTAGAACATTTGCCAAGTGTGGTGGTATGCACTATAATCCTAGCATTTGGGAGACAGAGACAATTAGATCATTAGTTCAAGGCTAGCTGGGCTATAGACTGAGTGGGCTATGTAATGATATTTGTTTCAAAACGATAGTAAAACATCAGCAACAAAACACATATACATATACACATAGTTAAATTTACCATCTCCTTTTTTTTTTGGGGGGGGGTGCTGATCCTAGGGCTTGAACTTAGGGTCTGGGCACTGTTCCTGATTTTCTTTTGCTCAAGGCTAGTGCTCTACCACTTGAGCCACAGCACTACTTCTGGCTTTTTCTGAGTGATTTATTGGAGATAAGTCTCATGGACTTTCCTGCCTGGGCTGGCTTTGAGCCATGATTCTCAGATCTCAGCTTTCTTAATAGCTAGGATTACAAGCATGAGCCACTGGCATCTGGCCTATATTCAGTTTCTTATGCAACAGATAGGCAAGATATATTTTAACTGTTAGGATTCCTACAAAGATACTTGGACTAAACTCTTAGTTGTTCATATGTTTATAAATATGCAGTCTCATCTTCGATAGAAGGTAATGGTATAAATAGTGTAGCTGTCAAACTTTAGCAATTATTGCTTTACTGTGAAAATACTGTACAGAGGGGTAACAATTACATGGGCAAAATAAAAACTTTAGCAATTCTTATGCAAATTTGTTTGGTACCTATAAGCTGACTTTCAGAGCTTGCCATTAGTCTTTGTACTCCCCCCCCCAAATTATAATAGTCTGTCCTTTTATAGGAAATACACAAAATACAGAAAAATTTACCACTCTTACCATTGATTATGTACACTTTCCTGGTAGATTACTTTTCTTCCTTTTGGAAAAAATTTAAAGGCTTTAAAAATTTTAATACTTCTCCAAGTTTTGTCTGTTTTTAATTAAAAAGTACCTTTTTATTGCTTCTTGGCCTTTGGGCTAAAATCAGTTGTAGTATGTGTGGTTATTAGTATAATATCTAACACATTCTCTAGCCAAAGAAGTGGCTAGAGGAATCCATTTACTATATTAAATGGACTTTTGGAGCAAGAAGAGAAAATAGGAGCTTGCTTTACTCACTCTATGCATTGACCTGACATAGTCAGGTCATAGTACATCAGCATAGTACATCAGCAACAGGGCACCTCATCCCTCATCTACTTAAGGTTGTCCCTACCCACAGATCTCTGGTTAGCATCTCAGAGTCAGCCCTCAGATCCTACAAGAGCTCCTCTTCTCCCCTCCCACCATCAGCAGCTAGTTCTCCATGTAGTACAGATGGGTACTTACTTTGAGTAGACTGGGGAATTCAGCCTGAATCAATAGCTTCAGCTCATCCTTTGACAGCTGGTCTGGATCACCTTCTTTGGCTGCATATTTTTTGAAAATGTTCTTTAGTTCTTCAGGAGACTTTTTAGCACTCATTCTCGTGTTCTGTACATTTGGGAAGAAAAAGAACTTACCAAAAAGCTCAGAGTTATATGCTGAGTGTTGTCAAGATTTTAGTACTATTAGGCACTGTTTGGGCAAAGGTTAGAGGAGAATAAGGATAAGAGAGGGAAGGATAAGAGAGGGAAGGAGAAGAGAGGATCATAATGGGAACATCATCAGTACTTATCAACACTCTTTGAAAGCAATTATTGTGCCTCTGGAGGTGTAGCACAATACCCGTATGCACAAGGCCTTGGGTTCTATTCCTAGCAGCACACATAGAGCCCACCATCACTACCATCATCATTGTCGTTTAGTTGAATGTCTACTCAGACAGAATACATCTGTGAGAAAATAGTCCCCAGAGACAAATATTTTGCTTAGTAAAGTAACAGCATGCACTTTTTCATTTACATAGTCTATACTCTGTAGGCTGTAATCTTGAGGAGTACCTGACTCCAGCTGTTGGCATCTTAAGTTTCCCTGGTGATATCTTTAGATAGCACCAGCTCACTTTCTCTCCAGATCATTGAGCTGTCATTCCATTCTAAAAGGAAGCAAAGTATTATTGCAAGCAAAAGAAGCTCTAGGTGGTACTAAGATCACACTGACCTGGTCACCCAACAGTGGAGCCACTTAGAAGAACCGAGTAAGTGCATGAAGAGCTGAGAAGAATCATGCGACTTTTATAGTCTCTACAGACACACCACCCAGATTATGAAATTTTCCTTTTGTTTGCCATTTAAGGCTAATTATTAATGGTTTTTGAAACCCAAGCAGAAGACTTCATGAACCTCTTAATTAAGGTCAAGATCCAATAAAGGGCCATCTCAACAGTTGCTTAATGGTTCAGAGTCCCAAGAGTAAGCCTGAATGTTTTTTTTCCCTTAGATTATATTTTCCCTTCAGTGTAGAATTATGATTATTTACCCACAGTTCATATTTCAGAAAGCTTTTCTATGGAATACTATTTTCAGTGTAGCTTCATATTTCAGCTTGAAAAATCTTCATATTTAGAAAAAATTGCTGTCACAGAAGGACAATATTGTATGACTTAAAAAAAAGCACAGTATGGTCTGTGCACTGGTGGTTATGCCTGTAATCCTTGCTACTAAGGGGGCTAAGATCTGAAGATCATGATTCAAATCCAGCCCGGGCAGGAAAGTCCATGAGGCTCTTATTCTCTAATTAATCTGCCACAAAATCTGGAAGTGGAGATGTGGCTCAAGTGGCAAAGCACTAGTCTTGAGCACAAAAGCTCAAGAACAGTACTCAGGCCCTGAGTTCAAGCCCAATGTTGGGTGCAAAAAAAAACCCCAGCACAGAATGGTTCTTGAAGTCCTTCTGAGTCATGTATGTGCTAAGTGTTCCAATATTTGAATACATGAATGAATAAAAACGTGTTGCTTCAGAAGCAGGCTTAAGAAATGGGAAGAAGATACATGATAATTTGTGCTTTTACTTGGCAAAGCAAGTTTACTGAGTGACATGGTCTTTTATTTGTAACTTTTTCGTTACTGTTTCCATGACTTTTTGCTTCTCATCCATATGTGTATGTGTGTGTCTATTCAGTCTGTACCAGAATAATATATATATATATATATATATATGCACACACAAAAATACACATACACAGACATACACATGTGTGTATATATATATGTGTAGAAATATATATTTCTATCAAGTTGTAAAAAACAGTTGTCATCTTCTTAGACAATTAGAAATACTTGAAACTTTTTGTAACTACCAGGATTTAAAATTAGAGACAAAATTGATTTCTACTGGAAAGCATTTCATGGAATAACTAGGACATTTCCAGGGGCCATTGATCATTAATGCTGATTGTAACTCACAGAGAAAGCTTCCAGATAGACTTCAATAGCACTTAACAGCTTTTAAACACATGTACATTTCCACATGTGTCATTTTCTCTGGCCAGCATTATATCACCTTCAAATTCAGGCTTGAAATATCAGACAATATTTCTCCTGGATGTTTTTCTAGCTCTAAAATTCTAGGACCTATTTCCGTTGTAGAACAAATGTAAAATCTTATAGACTTCCTTTAAAGCTTCCCACCAGTCCTGAGCATTTCTCATTCCATGTGTCTTTGCTGTCTTGCAAGTGTTGTTATTTTATTACACTATATTTATCTCTGGTATGCTCCAGTGTACACTATGTATTAACTCACTGGTTGGAGTTATGACAGACATTGTGATTTTTTATTTTTTTGTTGGCCGTGGGGCTTGAACTCTGGGCCTGGGTGCTGTCCCTCAGCTCTTCAGCTCAAGGCAAGTGCTCTACCACTTGAGCCACAGTGCCACTGCCGGTTTTCTAGTGGTTTATTGGAGCTAATGATAGTCTCATGGACTTTCTTGCCTGGGCTGACTTTGAACCATGATCTTCAGATCTCAGCTTCCTGAGTATTTAGGATTACGGCGTGAGCCACCTGAAAGTTAAGCCAGGCGCTGTCCCTCAGCTCTTCAGCTCAAGGCTAGCACTCCACCAATTGAGCCACAGCGCCACTTCCAAGTTTTTCTGCTTATGTGGTGCTGAGGAATCAAACCCAGGGCCTCATGCATGCAAGGCAAGCGCTCTACCACTGAGCCACCTTCCCAGCCCAGCAATGCATTTAAATAAAGATTTTAGAAAATGTCTATTGTTTTTCCATGTTGAATTTGTTCTCATGGAATAAAGAAGGCTTTTGTGAAAATCATAACATATTTTTTCCCTTAACATCTTTTTTTTTTAAACTAAGGATTTTATTTGGAATACAGAATTGCCGCTATTTGACTAGATCTTAAAACCCTTCACTGTAATGCTTCTAAAAGTTTTTAGTGTTTGTTTTTGAAGGACTTAATCTGTTTGTTTGTTCTCTTATAAGTCTCTTTGTAATACGGCTTTTTAAAGTATAATTTTATTGTTATTATTAAGGTGATGTACAGAGAAGTTACTATTTCATAAGTCAGATAATGAGTACATTTCTTTCTCGGACAGTGTAACCCCTTTCTTTACTCTCTCCCAATTTCCCTTTCCTGCCCACAAGTTACACAGTTCATTTTTCACATAGTGTATTTTGAATAGCATGACTGACTTTATTCATGCTTCCTACCTCCCTTTCTGCAGTCCCCCTTTGTCTCCTCTAAAAAGAAAAACAGAAGCAAAATAAACACTACTGTCACTACTGCCAACAACAACAACAAAAGCCACATTTCCATTTTCTGGAATCCTTAACATCTTTTAAAAATATTTTAAACAGTGGACACTGGTTGCTTATTCCTGTAATCCTAGCTACTCCCGAAGCTGAGATCTGAGGATCGTGGTTCAAAGCCAGCCTGGGCAGGAAAGCCCATGAGACTCTTAAGCTGAAATGAAACTTGTGGCTCAAGTGGTATAGCACTAGCCTTGAGCAAAAGAAGCTCAGAGACAGTGCCCAGGCCCTGAATTCAACCCCCAGGACCTGTGCATGGGGGGGGGGGGACCCGCACGAGTGCACGGGCACACGTGTGAACACACACACACACAAATATTTTAAATCTTCATTAAAGTGGCAAGAATAGTAAAATGAACCTTTTCATTAGATTCATTGTTAGCATTTCCACATTTTTTTCTTTCTCTGGACCCATATTTTCTCCCCTAAACTATTTGGGAATAATTTGTGGATATCCACTAGCTTCTTCTAAATATGTTAGCATGTGTCTTATAAAGAAAAAGATATTCTCCTACATAACCATGGTGCTGTTACCACAGACCATATTCAAACCTCTCTGGTTGTTGAGATACCACTTTTTCTTGTCTGCTGGTCCTGGGGCTTGAACTTAGTGGCTGGGTTCTGTCCTTGAGATTTCTTTTTTGGTCCTTGAGCTTTTTTTTCTCAAGGCTAGTGTTCTACCAGCTCTACCTCCAGATTTTTTGATAGTTTTAGTGGAGAAGAGTCTCACTGACTTTCCTGCCCGGGCTGGCTTTGAACTGTGATCCTCAGCTCTCAGCCTCCTCAGGTGGCTCAGCTAGAAGCCACCTGCCTCTGAGATAGCATCTTATATCATGATGTATTCTCTCAAATGATCACTTGTGAGCTAAAGTGATGGATGCTTATTATATTTCTCATCTCTCTACTGAAGAAATGATTTGAATAACTATCTAATTTTACTATTGATATATTATATGACATGTCACATTTCCTTAACACACAGCACATATCATATGTAATATAGATGATATATATGTATAAAATACATGTACATATACATTCTAAGAAGCACTTTTGGAACAATGTTGACTACTAGTTCTCTCATTTCAAGGGGAAAAACTCTGATTAAATTCTGCTTGTCAGAACTAAGGCTTATAACAAATGCTGACAGACCTTGGAAAACAACTTGTGGGTCTTCTCTGTGTTTTGCTTGCTCATCTCCAGAGACTTCTCTCATGCCTTATTTTCCTCTTTACACACCGATTCAAAGCATGAGGGTAAACCTGCAGTCAGAAACACAAAATCCACTAATAGATATCCTCATGAAACATTAACTAAAACTATATGGAGACAAGCGATAAATGTAGGGTGTGTTCACAAGAGTGCATTTTGAAATGAAAGAAGGGAGAATAATGACAGGTACAAGGTTGGTAATGGAAAAAATGGAGAGGCAAAGGTTATTTATCACTTTGCTGTTCAATTGCTTGATCTTTGAACGGACTTAATTTTTTTCAGGAACTTATTTTTTTTCAGAATAATTTCCTGAGAACTTATTCTGAAAGTTCTGGGAACTCTAGGCTTCTATGGCTGTGTTACTCAGTGCAAAGTCAGCAGCATGGATTACTTGAAAAATTTCCCATTGGGAAGAGTGTGGTACAGTGTTAACTAATGTCCCCAGACCTTGCAAAACAAGATGGGTGTGAAATGTTGTCATATGTTCTTGTTATACAAGATCATACCCTTTATACCAAATTATAGTTAATCTCTGAAAGGGACAGCTTACCTGTCCCTTTCAACTTACCTGTCCCTTTATCTGGTCCTTACCTGGTATCTGCCCTCCATGGACCCTCAGGTAGAGTTCATTTTCTTAACTATTTCTAGCTTTTGCCTGACCCTGTGAGTCTCACTGTTCAGGCCTGCTTATGTTTGTCTTCAGGTCTGGTGTTCCCAGGGGCCTCTGGCTCATAACCCGTGCTTACTGAGGATTTTTGTTTTGTTCTTTACCAAAGGCACTGTATTACCCTAGGCACCTGACTCCCATGACTTCTTGAATTTCTTGAAGCTGCACTGCTTTGAAATGGCTGCTGTTCTTCCCTCTGGTCTATAGGTATAGCTAAGGACTGCATTAGGTTCTTATTGCTGCTATAACAAATGACCACAAACAGTGACTTGAAACAACAGAAATCTATTGTCCTTCAGTCCTGGAAGTCAGAAGTACAAAGTGGGTGGACAGGCTTCTGAAAGTTCTAGTAGAACAGTTTTTATTTTATCATCTATAGGGCACTTATTCACAGCTCCAGCCTCCATCCTCAAAGTTAACAGGGCAGCATCTTCCAATCTCTGTCTCTTACCTCTGTCTCATCATCATGGCTCCTTCTGTTTCCAACCCCTCTTCCTCTGCCTCCTTCTGTGTCTGTATGAGTGCATGTGTGTGTGCCTGCATATGTGTGTGTGTGTGTGTGTGTGTGTGCATGCACATGTGTGCCAGTCCTAAGGCTCGAAC